AAATGCATCAACATAGACTCATGCATGTCGTAAAAAATCATCATGTTGATGGACACTGTGCCATCACCCTCCAAAGATCTCCACCAATAGGATCTATTATACACAAGAAACGGAGCACAACATAAACACCCCAATCCACACAATGGGATTGAAGCCAACACTGGACCAAAATCATATCATCAACACTGGACCGAAGCCCTTACATCAATAGTGGACTAAAGTCCTAATATGTTATGAATGCATGATGCAAAACGTCATAATCAATCATCACCACGGTTCGTCAAGTTGCATCATCATTCATAAAGCTCGCCAAAACATTATAGTATTTACATCATATTTATGCATCACAGTTCTTCACATTACTACACACCTCATCATGTTATAGTCATCAAAATATTGTAAATCAATTACCCAAGGCATATGAACAACATGACACAAGACAACACGAAAAAAAAATAAAAAATAAAAACAAACTACTGCTCCTGCTCGCCTGAGTTTCGCCCGGCAAAGCAGGGGAGAAATCCCTCCCCCATGCAAAAACCAGGAGCACCCATTTTTTACCTCTCACTTATCTCTCATTTCTCCTGACGACCTCCAAGCGAATACACTTCACCTGGCGAAATGGTTCCTCGACCGACAATTTCCTGCGAACAACAATCTGCTGCTGCGATTTCTGCATACGAAAAATCCACTCCAACAATTCTCCAAAGATCCAATACACATCCAGAATTACACACATATTTCTACAGGTTCAAAATCAATCATATGTACAATCTCAAGCAATTACTAACACCTAATTCATAGACTTACAACATCAATATAAACACAGAATTTCATCATGTTTCCATCAATCAACACATAGCACACAAAATCTTACATCTTCCTTAAACCCCATATCAAATATAATAACCCGGATCACCCCCCGTACCTTAGAATTCCCAGCAACTGACTTCCTCCCTTGCATTCTACGGATGATCTTCTTGATCTACTGTGCCCTAGCTCTCCTTCCACCGTTCTTTCTAACTTTCCATGATGGTACCAAAGTGAACTTCTCCACTCTCTCTTTCCCTTTTGTCACTCTTGCCGCTAGGACCCCTATTATGTTTTCTCAACTTCGTCCTCACTTATCTTTGCACAAATGACAAGTTATTGACTCTGAATTTTTATTTCATGTCCCATTGGAGCCTTTATAGGTATATCCTTATAAGATGCACAAAGTTGTCTTGCGACATTGGCCATATTGTGGGTAACATCTCATCGCATGAATATTTTTTCAGAGAGAATGAGTTTCGAGAATAGATTCACCATCCTCCTTTTTCTTCCTCACTACTCTCTATGTTGGTTTTTCTATCAAATTTTCCTTCTTTGATCCCACGTTTATTTCAAAATATTCTTAACAAAAATACTAACATCTTTCCCATGTTGTTCTCCGACCGTTGTATTTCCAAAATTCTCCATCGATACTGAAATGAGTTGAAAAGTTAAAAAAGATTTACCATATAAAACATCAAATAATATGGTTACAAACCCTCTTCTTCGAGGTTAGCTTCTTCCTATTCATCAAATTCCAATCACCGTCAGACTCTTCGGTTGGATTTGTCCCTTGATTTTAAAAAGGTTGGTAACAATTTTTACAATTAAGGAAGTCCTCCATTCTGTATTTCTAATGAAATAGTTTAAAGATATTAACTTAATAATTATTATTAATGCTACAAAGATTGACTTGTTCATTATAATCCTACGAATATCATGATGGCTAAAACTCTCTTTTGAATTTGTTTTTTTTCCTCATAATGTGCGCTCAATGTTGTATTTAAACCTATGATATCTAATTACGGTCTAAAAAATATCTTACCATCTTATCCAAAGAGTGAAGAGATTTTATCTTTTGCTTATGTGTTTCATTTTATTCTATTTATTAATTGTTATTTATCAATCATACATTTCCTCACTTTCCAAAAAGGAAAAACCTAACACATTTGAATAAATTTCATTTGAAATTTGTGAAAAATACATGTGTATGATATAAATTTGATCAAATCAGTTCTTTTCTTTTATTCTTTAGGATTTTAGTTTTGTCTCCTTTTTCTTTATACTATTTCATATATATATATATATATATATATATATATATATATATATATATATATATATATATATATATATATATATATATATATATATATATATATATATATATATATATATATATATATATATATATATATATATATATATATATATATATATATATATATATATATATATATATATATATATATATATATATATATATATATATATATATATATATATATATATATATATATATATATATATGTCTCAATCCACTTCTACTCCTAGAACGATCCAATTGTCCAAATCCAACCTCTTTGGTGGAAAGTTTACCTTTTTGCCCCTCCAACAGGGGAGACTGACCTATCTGCCCTTGGTCACAACACTTCTTCTCGTTAGTCTCTGCCCATCACGCACGGTTCCACCATTCAGAAATAGCCAAGTAGCTTGTGCCAGTAACACCCCAAATTTATTGGAATATTTATTTAATTTATTTAAATATAAATATTCGTATTTTTGATGATTTTCGGTGGTTGATGTGAAATATTGAGAATTATGGATTTTAGGTTATTTATTTAAATAATAGTATATAATATGAATATATTAGTATTATTATTAATTTAAATAAATATAAGTTAACTAAGAGCATCTTTAGTGGGAGTAAACTAAATGGGTAAATTAAAATACTTTTTGTGGGCCCAAAGTGATTTGTAGGATTTAAAAAATTTATAGTTGATTTGAGTAGTTTTTACTTTAATGGTGGTTGTCTATAAGAAACCAAAATTTGACCCCACATTTTATGTTTTTTATTCAAGTTACTATTAATTTAATTATTTTAATTAAAATACATATAATTTTTTAAATAAAATTTACCTTAAAAACTTAAAAATAATATTAAATTTTTCATAGGAATACATAAAAATAATACTGTGTGTAAAAAAAAAATAGAAGTAAGCTATAATACATAAAAATAATACAAAAATTACATCTTAAAAATAATACATATAAAATTCACAACAATAATACATAAAAAAAATTACATTTTTCATAGGAATATAATTATAATAAGGATTCGATTGGTTGGGATCCATTTGATAAATAAATAAGATTGGAAATTGAAAGAAAAAAATTTAGAAGTAAAACTGTGTGTAAAAAAAATTAAAATTTCTATAGAATTTATAGAAGGTAAAAAATAATAATATAACCGTTACTATTTTCAAATATCATATCCTTACTTTAATGTTGTTGGAATATTTAGAATATTTTATTAATATTAAATAATATTATAATAGATTTCACATAGTTAACGTTAACTATAGATGATGGGAACTAAATTTTAGTTCATTTGGATGCCACGTCAGCTCTCCTATAATGCAAATTCCTTATTACTAACGTAAGCTATAAAGAATTTTGGTTTAACAACCCTGCGTTAAAGTTGCTCTAAGACAAATTGGACAATTAAGGAGGAGTTAATGAGGGTAATATTGAAAAAGCCCATTTATAGGCCCAAAGTTAGGTTTAACAAAAAGGAATTTTGAGGGAATTAGGATTCGTTCTTGTTAGACTGTCAAAAGGGAAGAAACAGAGGTCAGATCTCTGAGGAAGAGGATTGAGGCAAAAGCTTGGCGAGGTTTCCAAGAATCAAGGAGAAAGGCTTAGAGTCGGCAATTAAGGTATGTGGAGTATTGCCTTCATTGTTTTCAATATGTGATTCAATGTATTTAAAGTTGATTTAAGGGTTCATTGTTTTCAATATGTGATTCAATGTATTTAAAGTTGATTTAAGGGTTTAAGGGTTTGAGGCTGATTTGAGAGTAAAGGAAATTAGGACCTCGGTTTAAGAGTATTGCCTTCATTGTTTTCAATATGTGATTCATGTGCATCCGGACTTCGGTTTAGGACCTTGATTTCTTTAGCTTCAGTCCCATTGTGTGGATATGAAGTATTTTTATGTGCTCCGGTTCCTATTGATGGGGATTTATGGAGGGTTGATGACCCATAAATTAATATAATTAATAAAAATAGAAATTAATAAAATAGAAATTTTTATTAAAAATAGAAATTTTTATTTTATTTTAAGAAATATAGAATATCTCCTTTAAGTAATTTTTAATAAGAAAACTTGAAACTTAAACATTTTTAATAAATAACTTAATTTAAAAAATTATAAATAAATTACTTAAGAATAAGTAAAAACGTTATACCTTATGTGCTTCGCCTATATTATTAAAGAAGGAGTTCAATTTTTGACCAAAATAATATTTTGTGTTGAAAATATGTATTTTCAGAAATAGTTTAGAATAGGCCTTAGTATTTTATATTACCTTACATTGAATTCAACAATAGTAGAACAATGCATTCTACATAATACAATATCTCTTACTTTTTTCTCAAGACACAAAAGTTAAAAATAAAAAATAAAAACAAAAAAGAAAAATCGGAATCTCCAAAGTTTATTCTAGAACAACACACCAATGACACCATAGCATAAACCACTAGTCTTATATCACTCTGTGTTCCACGCACCTTCTTCTCTGTATGTCAACTTAGACTTTCTTCTTTTCTTCAAAAATTCTTCAAAAACCATTCAAAAATTAAAAAATAAAAAATAATCTATTCCTTTTTTTCATTATCTTTTTCATGTTTTCAACTAACTACTAAAGTTTCCACTCTTCTTTTCCACTTTCATAATTTTTATTATGATCAAATAAATTTCAAAGAGTTTTTCTTTTTTTGCCACCAATTTTGATTCATATGGTCAAAAAGTTCACTATATATATTACTCTATATAATCTAACACTTGTTTAAAAAAATTTGAAGGTTCATTGATTGTTTGTTCTTTTGCAATCAAAATTCATCATCAACCGAAGCTGAGTTCCGAAGCTGTTACCGAACCTAAGGTTGTTAGTTCCGAAGCTGTTGAGATGGGTTTAACCGAACCTATAGTTGTTTCTGGTCCTTCTGGTTATATCCTTGAAGATGTTCCTCATTTGTCTGATTACATTCCTGATCTTCCAGTACGTCGTCGTTTTACCTCTGCTTTTCTCTAACGCTACTGTTCTTGGTCAATGACCACTCATGTTTCACTTTTTTTTCTTCTTGTTTTTGTATCTTTGATTTTATCTTTTTGAATAATTTTTTTAAAAATAATTTAAGATTCTTTTTCCTTCTGCCGACTTAAATTATTCTTATTATTAATTATTAATTATGTTGGAATTTTTGATGTTGTTTTTTTCCTGCTTACAGATCATACATGAATAATTGGTTGTACAGCTTTTCATTTTTTTGAACTGGATAAATTTTTATATTTTTTTTTTATAATTTTTTTTAATCATTTTTAGTGAAATTGTTCTTGGTGTTTCTGCAGACATATCATAATCCTTTGCAAGACAATCCTGCTTATTCAGTTGTTAAGTGAGTTTTTTTTCCCTCTCTGATTATGGGTGGTGATTTTAATTTTGTTTATTGAATTTCTTAATTGATGATGAATTGAATTTTACTTTTTTTTTTCTAATTTTTTTTCAGGCAATACTTTGTGCATGTTGATGACACAGTTCCTCAGAAGGTTGGTGTTTTATTGCTTTTAATGTAATTATTTAATTTGTTATGAAATTGATTATAATAAGCTTTTAATTTTCATCTGCATAGAGTGAGTTTTTAAGACAGTGTTCCAAAATGTTGATATCAAGAGGTTTCAATAAAGATATCATTACCTTAATTTATGTCTAATTTCCATTTTTGTTTCCTGTTAGGTTGTTGTTCACAAAGACAGTCCAAGGGGGACACATTTTCGTCGTGCTGGACCGCGCCAGAAGGTAATTTTCTACTCTATGTGAATTTATTTCTGCACTTATTAATATATTTTGTGGCTTTTTATTTATTTGTTGCATTTTGAAATTGGATATTCAGGTGTACTTTGAATCAGATGAAGTTCAAGCTGCTATTGTTACATGTGGAGGTCTATGCCCTGGACTCAACACTGTGATAAGAGAATTAGTTTGTGGCTTACACCACATGTATGGTGTGACTCGAGTTCTCGGAATCGAGGTAGATCGATGTTTATAAGTATGACATTAACTTGCTGTTAAGGTTTTTTGTTTTGACTGCATTAGCTGATGAAAATGTTTTGATGTGAAGGGAGGATATAAGGGCTTCTACTCTCGCAATACAATTGCTTTAACTCCTTCTAGTGTTAATGGTATACATAAGCGTGGAGGAACTATTCTCGGTACTTCGCGAGGTGGACATGACACCAATAAGATTGTTGATAGTATTCAAGATCGCGGAATCAATCAGGTTTGTGTTTCTTTCTATTTACCGATATAGTTTTTGTGTGTATGTATACAATATCGGATTTTAATATTGCTTTGAGTTTCAGGTTTATATAATTGGAGGAGATGGAACTCAGAAGGGCGCATCTGTAATTTTTGAGGTATCGATAGTTTAAACTTTAAACGAGACTATCAAACTTGTAGGTTTATGGTTTAGGGAATGTTGCATTGAAGTAATGATTTATTAATAGTTTAATTTGATTATCGATACAGGAAGTCAGAAGACGTGGTCTGAAATGTTCGGTTGTAGGAATTCCCAAAACCATCGATAACGATATCCCGGTGAGTTATTTTTTCTTGCACATTGTGGTTTCCACTTCATATGATTGGAATCTGATTATTACTTACCATTTGCATCAATAATTGGTAAATTTCTTATGCTTCTTTTTCATGATTAATAGATTATAGATAAGTCCTTTGGCTTTGACACTGCTGTTGAAGAGGCTCAACGTGCTATAAATGCCGCACACGTTGAAGCTGAAAGTGTCGAAAATGGTATCGGTGTCGTCAAGCTGATGGGTCGAGACAGTGGTAAGTTTTCTACATGTTTATAACACCTTCACTAATCAGCTTAATGGTGAAATTTGAGTAATCTGCAATTTTTTGCGATCTGCAATTGACAACACTGGTTAAACGCACAGGATTTATTGCGATGTATGCTACTCTTGCAAGTAGAGATGTCGACTGTTGCTTGATTCCGGAGTCACCGTTTTACCTCGAAGGTCCTGGTGGACTTTATGAATATATAGAAGAAAGACTAAAGGAAAATGGTCACATGGTTATTGTGATTGCTGAAGGAGCAGGACAGGAACTCCTTTCCGCGAGCATGCAATCTGACAAAAAAAAGGATGCTTCTGGAAACAAGGTTCTTCTAGATGTTGGGCTATGGATATCTCAAAATATTAAGGTTTGATTGTTATTTGTTCTATTTATAGTCTATGCCTCAAAATCTACTATGCTACAGCGCTGCTATTTCGTAGCACTCGTTTGATAAGTACTCGAGATATTTTCTGGCGCTTACTTTAAGCATTTTAATTTTACAGGATTATTTTGCCAGAGAGAAGACGCTGGCCATAACTCTCAAATATATAGGTTTGTAAAAATTAAGATCCATGAAAAAATTGAATGCTTGCGTAGACACTCTAAATGAATATTGCTTTCGCTTTTTGTGCGTTACAGATCCAACCTATATGATTCGAGCTGTTCCAAGTAATGCATCTGACAACGTGTACTGCACACTTCTTGCTCAAAGTGCTGTTCATGGCGCAATGGCAGGTTACACTGGCTACACTAGCGGACTTGTCAATGGAAGACAAACTTATATACCATTCTATGTGAGTTCATTGGTTATGATGACATTTGTTGGTTTTCATAGATAGTATTATGATCGTCTCGAATCGAATTGAATTTTAGGACTCTTATAAACATAAGAAACCGAACCGAGCCATATTGAAATGAACCAAACTTTGACTGATAGTTCATAAACTGAATGTTCATGAACTGTTTTTTTTTTTTGAGTGCAGCTCGGTTTGACGATATTGTACTCTTTTGAATAGCTCTCATATGTTTTGTTGCATTATTATGCAGAGAATCACGGAGAGGCGGAATAATGTTGTGATAACTGATAGAATGTGGGCCAGGCTGTTATCTTCGACAAACCAACCAAGCTTTATAAATGTCGAGGTTTCCAATGAAGACGAAAATGGCAAAAACTCATTGGACCAGTTAGCAGATGGACATTGTTTGGAGGACACTTTGGTTGATGAAAACGGCAGCATTTCCACCGCAATTGCTTGCTGATTGTTATTATGTCTCTCTATTGAAGCATTTTAAGAAGTATATATTATAGAGTTATCATTTTTGTTCTTCCATGTCCATAAGAGATGGCTGTGGAAAATGCAGCCTGACAGGATCTTTATATTAGTTACAGTTATTGATGTTTTTCTTAATAATGTGAATGGATTCTGGTTTGTCCAGAAATGTACTTTGTTAGTTTGAATATATTGTCCATGTTTTATGGCTGCCATTGATTCTATACTGAAAAAAGTAGACTGATTTTCTACTTGAATAATGTAGGAATGAATAATGAATTGTGTTGGAGTTGATATACTTCCTCTTCCTTAAAATAGAACCGGGGCAGAGTAGCGAAAATAAAATCGATACGTCTTCGCCCCGGTTCGTTAAATAGAACTGTCAACTAGTGAGGCCAAGTTAAAAATTTAAAGGTTGATACAAGACTTATTTTAGCACCTCTATGTGTGCACATGACATTTTGCATATTCAAACTGCAATGCAATCAACATCCACATGGACTAGGAAATTCTAATAACTATAAGTTAGATAGAAAAAGAAATATATTTGACCACATTCATTAATTTTGCTAAGACTAGTTATTAAATTATTCAAATAATGGGAGCTACTTATCTAATGAAGAACCAATATTTGTATTTATTCTAATAAAAAATTGGTAAAAAGAACTTCTGATTGTTATTTAATAGAGCAGATGGAATATCAAGTAAAGTGACAACATGAGTGATTCATTTGCATGAGAAGACAAAATTGCAAAAGAAGAACATATTTTATTTCATTAAAACAAAGTACTAATTAGTATGCAAGGTCTAATTAAACTAACTATGACGATATTGTTAGGTAGATAATTTAGGAAAGTGAATTTTTTAAAATAAGCAATAAAGGTGAGGCAATATCCACATAATTCACAATTTATAAAAAAAAAATCTTATGGCATTTTATATATTTGTGAAATTTAACAAATGTTTTTTTGTTTTTGTTTTTGGAGATATATCTTTGGATGCACCTAAATGTAAGCGAACATTGAAATATTCAAGAGATATATTTTCAGAATATTTTGGAGCATAAGTTGCGCTAGATTCTTCTCATTCCTCATTTGACAGTTTTCTTCAACACACAACTTCAACACTCTTCTTAATACAACCCTAACCCAAATCAAATTTCATCAACAAGAGTATAAAGAGCTCAAAGGAACATCAAAGATCATCTCTAATATTGGAAACAACATCTGAATCATTAATTTCGAGTAAGTTTTTCAAGTTTTCGGTGAATTTTGAATTTTAGTATAAATGTGTAGAGATTAATGATTAGGGTTAGAAATGTGTAGAAATCACATGTAACATATTTTAAATTTAGTGTATAACTTGTTTGTTGACTGAAAATGGTGATCAAATCATGTTTTTTTAAACTTGCAAGAGGTACACTCGCCATTGACGCGACCTCTGTGTTGCAGAACATTCTTGAGATGCATCTCTGGAATTGTTTAGCGTTTCATATACTTCGGAAAATTTCGGAGATGCATCTCCAAAACTGTTCAAAGTTATTGATCTCACTTGATCAGAAAGGAATCAGTAGTCAGCCACATGTCGTGAGCTCCTGCGTTGATCGGCGTTGTAGAGGAGGAGTGGGTGTACCTGTAAGGTACTCTGATGCTTATGTGAATAACAAAGTTTTAGAAAGAGCAAGTACAGAGAAAATAAGATATATGACCCTCTAGTGAAATAGGGTATTTATAGTGTGCCACCAGCACAGGGCCAACGGTTACCTTGCATTGGGCCGGATTGCAAGGCCCAATACGAGTAACTTCCAAGAATTACGTGGCGTAGGGAAGACCAGCACATGGTCTTCGTCCTGGATCAATTGACCCAAGATCTTTGGAAGACGATCTGATCGACTCTTTCGGAAGTGGGTAGTTGTTTGATGACGTGTCCACGCGTGAGGGACACGTGGAGTCCGTGGAGAAAGCGCGCAAGCTCTCCCCGTGCAAGATAATGGTCTGCCTGACTAAGATGCCTTATTAAGGTGCGTGCTCGACATGGGAGGATTGGGCCTTATTGGGCCTCTCCATCGTGGTATTGGGTTAGGCATGGCCGACCGAGGGGCAGGTCTCGGCCCAGTCCAGAACAAGAGCCCCTCAAGTCGTTGCTCCTAAGTGGATGAGTAGTGACTTAAGAATGAGTTAAGGCGTCGAGGAACAGTTTAGAAGATGGTGGCTTGCCTGACATGAAGAGTTGAGGGCCGTGTGCGCGTATAGTAGCGGCAGGTGCTCGACGAGACAACATGTCGGGGAGATGGAAAGCAAACGGACGTGCTTGATCTCCGAGCACGGGGGAAAGACGGATGGGTGCGAAGTGTTTGGTGACGCCACGTGTCAGGAAAATTAATGCCTAGGGTGACTAGGGGTAGGGGCACTCAAGTGCCTAGGGACGCCTCGAGTCCTGTGCTAGGTTTATATATAGGGGCTGAGTCCGTTTCAGTCGCACGCTTCCCTTCTTCTGTTCAAGACATTCTCTCTTCCTTTTTCGCGCTTCTCCTCTCTTTGTTCTAAGACGTTTGTCGTCCACCGCCATCTCATCCTCCCAGAACCACCGTATCAAATAAGTCACAACCAATTTACTCTTATTTTTTCCATTTTCTGATGGTTTCTCTAGTGGACTTGGTGAAGGTCCCGGGGAAACTATGAAGTTTCCGGCGAATACGCTAGAACTTCTTTGAATTGGTAATGTTTTTTATGAAGCCCCCGAGGACCGGTGATGAAGCCCTCGAGGACGTAGGAAAAGTGATTTGAGGACTTGATGAAGGTCCCGGGGACTTGGGATGAGGATCCCGAGGACATAAGATGAATGTCTTGAGGACCTGGGATGGGATCCCCGAGGACATTAGATGAATGTCTCGAGGACCCGATGAAGGTCTCGAGGATCTGGGATGGGATCCCCAAGGAAATTAGATAAAGGCCTCAGGGACCCGATTCTCGCCTGTCGAGGTAGGGGCGATCCTTCCTCTAGAGGTGCCCCTCTCTTCGCCCTTTCACTTGATTTGCAGGGGAAGGGTGGATTTGATCTGGAGTGTCAAACTCACCATTTTCATCTGCTTTTTAGGTAAAGATGGTTGCACGGACTAAAGGGGTTATTGAGATTGACGAAGAGCCTGATTCCCCGGTAGCGCAGACCAGCGAGGAGCGAAAACGAACTGCCACGGATTGGGCTAGACAGAAGCCTCTGAGTATTCCTTCTCGCTTTTCCGTGGATGAATCTACGCCTACCCCACGGTCGAGGACCGCTGTGAGGGTTTCCCGATGAACTGACAGGTGTATAAACCACGGAAAACAATCAGATATGTTTGTCTTTTAAAGGGATGAGGTTCCCTATGTATGAATTTACCTTTCGAGAAGCAGGCTTGCGATTGGCCTGCACTGATTTCCAACGAGGAGTGTTTGACTGGTTGCAACCGGCGCCCTCGCAGCTCCACCCCAACGCGGCCGCGTTCGTGCGGGCGTACAAGCTTGTATGTTGGTGTCTCAACATCAGTGTCGCTACTACGAAAAAAGGTGTCGGCAAAGACAGAAGAGTCGCCACCTTTCGTTATTTATCCCACAGGAAGGGAAAGGAAACGATCGGAACAAACCTAACAAAAAGGAAAAGACAAGGTCATCGCAACCAAGTCTCTGGGTTCGGGAGTCGGTTACGCAAGGGGAAGGTATTAGCACCCCTCACGTCCATTGTATTCAACGAGATGCACGCTTGTTGTGTTTATCTGACGGGTTGTTTATCTATCTACCTATCAAGGTTGGCTCAAAAGAAAAGAAAATTGACTCGGCAAAGCCTCGCAGCTTCGTGCCTACGTATTCCCTCGTGCAATGGGAAAGTCAGAGTCAACGTAGTTCGACTAACTACGGGTGAAGGGGAAGGTTGCTCGCCAAGACATCGCGTCTTGTGCCTATGTACTTTCATCTGGTATGAAAGATCAGAGCGAACGTAGTTCGGGCTAACGAAACATAGGTTTTGATTCATCTGTTTTTACCTGAGTAAGGTTAACAAACAGTTCCAGCAGTTTGGTGTATGCGGCTCGCTCATCGGAGACTCGTGCGTTACTGTTTGCGGTAGAACTAAGAGTTAACGACACTCTTTTTTCTGAAAAGGTTTTCCTGATTAAGAGAGTCCACAGGGAAAAAGGAGGTTTGAATGTTGGTTTTTAGTCTTTTATCAGAGGAAGTGTTTTTTTTATGAATGTTTGTAATTCATAATGCACTAGAGACTATGACTTAGGAGCGAATGCATCGTATATCGCCCAAAGGACGTATACTAAACACTCTAGACGATTGAGAGGAGACCGTTCAATTATCATTTCCCAAGTGGCTTAAGGCTCGTAACGGACGGTACTCATTAGCCTTTATTACGTGTTTTACTGGCGCCTTGAGGAGAGAAGAGAAAGGACTCTACAGAGAAAACTGAATCCTACAGTTGTCATGCATCATGGCCCTAGAGTTGAGTTTGAAAGGGAATCTACCCTACTGTTATCATGCATGGATTCATCCTAATGTGTATCATCACTCCTTAAACAAGGAAGTGAGAATCCTAAGGGAACATGCAAAGGGGAAAAACACAGCTAAAATCATTAAGCAGAGGAGATAAAAATATAAACAGATGCATATGCAATGCAACAGTACAAGCAGAAGGAGGAAGCCTCAACTTCTAATGCAAACATGGGATGCAAACAGAGATGCACAGAGAAAGCACACAAGCAAAGGGAGGCAACCCTCAACCTTTAATACAAACATGTTAAAAAGGAAAAGAAATAATCAAGCAAAGGGAGACACACTCAACCCTTAAATGCAAACAAGCAAAGGGAGACTAGCTCAACCTTTCAATGCAGACTGGAGATGCAAATAGAAGTATTCTACTCATGCAGTTCTATCCTAATGCAGCAAGCAAACAGGCAAACAGGGAGGAGAGGGGTAAACAAGATGAGCAACAAGGAAATCATCCCAGGCT